GAAGCTTTTGTTTTGAATCTGGTTAGCCCATAATTTGTTCTAGAAGCTGGTCTGTATAGGTTCTGTTTGAAGTTCTAGAAGCTTGTCTGTATAGGTTCTGTAATAACAACTGTCAAAACAACAAATTGTCCTGGCAAGCTGGATGAAATTTTCTGATATGAACACAATAGAAATTCATCCCGCTTACCGGGCTGTCTCGCTAAGCGGGCCGGCCCGCTTCCATATCAACAGGCCTTTAAAGACCATAAGTAACGCAACCTCCGAATTTCCCAAGAAATCGACATTGTTTTAAGGACAAAAGATGTTAGGTGCCTGGGAATTCAAAATAGCACAACTGTCAAAATCACTGCACACGCGAGTGCGTAAAGAAAAATTTATGCATTTATTTAATGACACTTAATGAGTTTTTATTTTACAAGTACAGCACAACAACAGTAATGTGATCTACAGTACAACCGGGTATAAAAAAAAACTGAACCCTTTCAAATTCAAATTAGCTATAACGTATTGTACTGTAGTAATTTGACAGCTCTAATTGCTTTGAATTAACGGTTGGGTAAAATACAAGGGCTTGTACTCATGGGACAAGACTCTTAAAAACTTTTAACTTTTCTAATTTTTATTTCTTTGAGTTTCGTCCCATGAGTACAAGACCTTGTGTTCTACCTTAACCATTAATTCAAAGCAATTAGAGCTGTCAAATTACTACAACACGTTATAGCTAATTTGAAATTGGAAGGGTTCAGTTTTTTTATACACACTGTACAGGGTGTCCCAAAAATAAACCCGAAAACTATTGAAATCACTTATTGTTAAATTTGAATGCCCTACCAAACAGCTGGACGTAATGATGCGTAAAATATTGACAAGGTGCATGTATTAGAATTTAGTTAGGAATATCTCCTGGTAAAGTGCGCGATTTTCTGCTCCTGGGAATTAAAAACAGCTTCTTAAACAGTTTCTTTATGCATAAAATTTACTTATGTCAATCATTTATGCACTCGTGGGAACCAACAGAGCGCTAAGGCATTCAAATTCTAACAATTAAATTGTTATTGGTGATTTCAATAGTTTTCGTTTTTTTGGGACACCCTGTACAGGGTGTATCAAAACTAGGGATCCAAGGATAGTGTGAAGTTTCAAATTTAAAAAGACACTGCAAGAACTATATAGGGTCGCTGACAACCTAGAAAAGCTTGATGGCTTACACTACGAAATAAACAGTTACCAAAGGCATTTCATCTCATTATTTATTGCTTTTAAGACGCTCGGCACACGAGTAGCGTGACGTTTGAAACAAGCCTAACACATCAGAAACGTGCCTTATGAAACTGATGCAATTCATCTATTTATTGTGTCACCAACAACCAAATTTTGCATATTCTAAATTTTCATTTGCATTTGCAGCTGTTGCTGAAATCATCCCCACGAGGCTACTGCTATGCTAAATTTATCTAATAAACTATGATTGAAATAGCTGTATAAGATATGTTATGAATAATAAGCACTACGTCGTTACATCATTAAAAGACGCATTTTATCCTCATCCGTTCCGTATTTTATCCGCATATCCGTCCCGTGGATCCGCTCCATCCGCTTCCGCATTTTAACTTAATTGTGACATGTTCACAATAACAAGTTTCATTGACCTTTGACTTTTCCCAGTGTGACGTGTGTCTATTTTCAGCTTTTCGCATGTGTTGAATATAAATATCACTTTAGATTTCAATAGTTTCAAAGTAAACAGTTCAATAGTAAACAGTCTTTTGGGACACAAGGACAAGGTCCGTGAATGTACACGTTGGCTACATGTACCTCCTTGCTTTTTTCTTCTATTGAATAAAGCTTGTTGGCGAGCCAATTAAGCGATTATTGATCTGATACAAATCTGATGCAATTTTTCGCTCTTTGTACTGAGTATAGCCATCTATTCTGTGATGTAGCGCACCTCATACAGTCAATGAGAATGTATAATGAATACACGGTCTAAATAATATCGACGGTAATGCATAACATCAATTTATATATTGTATTACTATTATTGCGTAGAATCTCAAAGATTTTCTCAATATTCATGTCTGAAATGTTTATATACTTGAAAACAACACTGTCTCGCTTCTGCCTGCACGTACTGTACCTCTGTATAATGAGTATGCCGTGAAAAAATAATATCGGCACTCAATTGAATGCCTAGAAGCAAGATTTTCGACTCAATATTTACGTCTGAAATGTTTATACACTTAACTGCACTGTCTAGGCGGTCTAGCTCCTTCCTAGCTCTGTATAATGAATATACCGTCTAAATATTATCGGCACTTATTAAATTGAACGCCCGTAATGCATAAGATCAATTTATATATTGTGTAGATTTTCAAAGATTTACTCAATATTCACGTCTGAAATCTTTATATACTTGAAAACAACACTGTCTCGCTTCTGCCTACGTACTGTACCTCTGTATAATGAGAATACCGTGAAAATAATATCGGCACTTAAATGAATGCCTAGAATCAAGATATTCGACTCAATATTTACGTCTGAAATGTTTACACACTTGACTGCACTGTCTAGGCGGTCTAGCTCCTTCCTAGCTCTGTATAATGAATATACCGTCTAAATATTATCGGCACTTAATTGAACGCCCGTAATGCATAAGATCAATTTATATATTGCGTAGATTTTCAAAGATTTACTCAATATTCACGTCTGAAATCTTTATACATCTGAAAACAACACTGTCACCCTTTCCTAGCATATCGTCACGCCATCGTGATCTACGGCTTGATAGCGCATGCGCATTTGCGCTACTAAAGAAAAAATCGGGTGTTCCGGGGTAAAGATCCTTTACACAACATGAGAAGCGAATGTTCTAAAATTTACAAAAAAATACAATAACGAAAGCGATTCCTCGAAATTTTTGTGAACTTGGCAAAAGGATAACAGAATATGTAAATAAGTTAACTGAAATTGCCTAAATAACCTTCAAAGTACTGACTAAGTACAATAAATCACTACGAACATAAATCGTATACACCCCCCGGAAAGTTTACTCTATGACTGACTGACTGTTTGACTGATTCGTGTGAATTCGCCAGCCATCACAATAGTGTGAAGTGAAACTTCACACTAAAAAGCGCAACCTCGGAATTTCACAAGAAATCGACATTGTTTTAAAGACAAAAGATTTTAGGCGCCTGGGAATTTAAAATAGCATAACTGTCAAAATTACTGCACACGCGAGTGCATAAAGCAAAATTTATGCATTTATTTAATCACAACAACAGTAATATGATCTATTAGCAATTCGATTTCAATTCCCAGGGGCCTAAAATATTTTATGCTTAAGAATTGCAAAGTGATTTCTTAGGAAATTCCGAGGTTGCGTTTTTTTTTATACACCCTATATATTAGCTATTCGATTTCAATTCCCAGGGGCCAAAAATATTTTATGCTTAAGAATTGCAAAGTGCATTTCTTAGGAAATTCTGAGGTTTCGTAAAGGTGTCCTCAAAAGAGTACCCTCTATAGAAATTTATCCTATTGTTGTTAGGCACAGGATTTTATGCGACTGGTAATTAAAAATTCAATTCAATTGTGTTTACGCACTCTTGTGTTCAGCATAGTGCTCAAGCATTCAAATTATAACAATAGGATAATTTCTATAGAGGGTGCTTTTTTGGGACACTGCTGTACAGGGTCTCAGACGTTGGAACACAGGAAACGCGACGATTGCACTAAGCCTGATTTGCATTAAGTTATTCTGGAATTTTGACAGGCTGTCGCATAAACGTATGTATGCTGAAATGCGCAAGTAGATCTCTTGTTAACTTGTTTATAGCTTATAGTTTGTATTCCGTGCCGCGGGTCGAATGTATATAGAGTTTCTACCGCTGTAAACAACAATGCCAATGACCAATGTATGTGATTTATAGCAGTATTGTTTGCATTACTCCCTGAAACCGCTATCGCGCGACAGTTAAGTTCCCTGTGTATTTACGAAAAAAGTTGTATTTATACCTCAATAATTTGAACTAAAATTAAGCGACACAATGAATATACCAACAATAATATCATACGACAAGTATAATAACCTAAAATTATATACCTGCTGAGCATTATATTTTTCTTGGGCCCCGCGCCGAAACAGGGAACAAAACAATTGAAGAGAGTGAGCCCAGGGCCCATAAACGCCTGATTCCACGGGCGTTTTTTCTCGGCGAAATATTTCGCCTGTTTCTTTTGAATTGTGGGCAATCAAGTAGAAATAATTTATTCGAGTAGTCGCAATTAAAAAAAAACAGGCGAAATATTTCGCATTTCGCCGAGAAAAAGCGCCTGTGGAATCAGGCCTTAAGAGCGTGGTGCCTGTAACATATGTCGCTTCTACCATATGGTTAATCCAGAACTGCAAAACAAACTACGCAGTGTATGTTGTGAGAGAATGCGTACGAGTTTTATCAACACATTTAGCGCTATGTTAAACAACAATGGATCACCGAGTCTGCGTAACTCTGCAGCTTTTCAGTTGTTCAATGCCATACTGACACTCTCGATGGTATAGCTCTATATTAGCATATTATTGAAAAATAATTTAATTAAACCCAAGCTACGCCGTACTTTGCCCTTCGATTCAGATCAGATGTCGAATTTTCCCGAACAAACTCTATCCTAAGGTTCAATTCATTGAACTTTGAAAATTTGTTGTTCTCATAAAAACTATGAATAATTCTATTGCAAACACCAGTAGACTAGTCCAACATCATACAACTGCATTACCGAAAATTTAAAACAAAGTCAAATTCATTACAACATATTCCATCATCGGACAACATTTCCCAAAATAGTGTTCAAACGAGGCCAATAATGTAACAACCAATACTGATACTGCATGATGTTGGAACAACATGCATGTTGGTCTCATTTTTGGCTGATTCGCTTTTTCAGTCTTTCCTTTTGGTGTAAAATCTCATAAATTGCGGTTATAATATTTGCTAATTTCAATGGGACTAATTATAGGAAAAGTTGATATAAAAGTTGAGATATATTCATCAGTTGATATATTTGCAGACGATACAACCTTATCTGCAAGTACTCATTGGAATGATATTCCCTCAATGGTCCATGATATAAATTGTGATCTTGCTGCCTTAAATCAGTGGTCGATTCAAAATAAGATGAGCTCGAGTATTAACGACGAAAAAACCAAGTTTATGCTTATATCAGGAAAGCGTCTTGAAAAGAAAATCTTAGAAAAAGGGAAGATGGACATAGCAGTTAAAGTGGATGATACACAGATTACTGAAGTAAATTGTCAAAAACTCCTTGGAGTAACGAGTGACAATAGATTAAATTATGAAGAACATATTGATCGATTATGTCGGAAACTCTCGAAACAGCTTGGTCTTCTCAAACACATTAGTCCGTACCTCAAGAAACAGCAAAGGGAGTTGCACTTTAATAGTGTTATCAAGCCTACGATGATGTACGGGAGTGTAATCTGGGATAATTGCAATGGTGAATGTTTTCAAAGAGTATTGAAATTTCAAAAGCGGGCGGCCCGGATTATTTTGGATGCAGAAGAGATGGCACCTTCAATTGTTATGTTTAACACTTTAAATTGGCTTCCTTTCACGAAGGAGTCTTTGATCAAGAGAATAATGTTAGCGTATAAGCGTGTAAATAGTGCTTATAATACTCCTAGCTATCTAAATTCACTTTTAGCGCGAAATTCAGACAGGCATAGTAGGAATACACGTTATTCGAATTTGAATATGCTATGTCCAACTTACAATCGTAAAACATGCAGAAGGAGGCAGAACCTTCACTGTAAGAACAATTATAGACTGGAACAAATTAGATTTGAACGTTAGAAGTATACATTCTGCTTTTAGCTTTAGGCGTAGTATTTATAAACAGTTTTTAGATGATCAAAAATGTGCAAATAGGCTGCAGCGTTAGGGTCATGTTTTAATAATTTTAACTTTAAATAGGGACTGTGTTCTAATATCTTAAAGGTGATCTACAGTCCGTATGTAAACAAAGCCTTTGTTTACATTTTTGTGTCCAAAATATTGAGCTTTATTCGACAACTATTTATATTTTCATGCTTCCAGAGTATAATAAATGATCAAGAAACAACAATCAGGCTTTTCAAGAACTCAAGACATAGTTAAACTGTTTGCATCATAAAAAGTGGGCTCATTTGTGCACATGCGCATATCGGACTGTAGATCACCTTTAAATTTTGTAAATTTTGAGAGCCAAAAGTTTATCAGTTTCTTACTGTCACGTGTTTACCCTCAGTAAATAAAGCCTTTCACTTCACTTCACAACGCGTGCATGCAGAACTGCTTTGGAAATCCATTGCTTGGAAAATATGAATACATTATCCACTTTATTTCACAGAACGGGCACACTCTGCCTGAAACTGCAGGATTCATTACAGCCTCCGGTAGAGCTGGTCAATCTCTCATAAAAGGCTTCCAAACATCAAAGTGTACTTCTATCTCGTTCCCAAGTTATCGGGCATTTCGTATTGTTACGTTATGACATCACTATAAATTGGAAACGAGATATAAGCTGTGAATAAATTATTAAGCCATTCTTCATCATTTTTCATAATTTTCAAGGTACTGTAAAATGTCATGTGGACTTTAAAATAAGCAAGTTAAATTTGTAGTTTCATGCACATGTACTTGCGTTTGACCGATTGGTCAATTTGGTAACCAAATAAAATATTGGTCAAATAAGTGCACCTGAGAAAACCAATTGAAATTGGTTGTTTTAAACGACAATTTATGCAATGTGAAAATCAATTGTTCAAAATAAACTAACCATTTACAAAGCAAATTTACCATCATCCGTCCAAAAATTATAAAAAGTTGCTGTTATGCATATGTGGACTTATCTTGAAAACTTCGGTTGAAAAGCCACCTAAAAATGGCGGCGTGAGAAAGGCTAATTAAAGCATACTTTAAAACCAGATTGGTTAACCAGAATGGAAAAATGGCGGATATTCGTCATCGAGAGGAAGGCTAATTATAAACACAAGTTTTGTAGTTAAGGACACCATACAGGCGTCCTAGGTTTGCAGACTTTGTTAAGTTCAATTAGTAGGATGTCGTGTTGGTCAACAGTGGTAACGTTTTGGCTATTTAACAATTAGACAACGAAGCCGAGTTGTCTATGAGCGAATAGTCAACGAGGCGAAGCCGAGTTGACTATTCGTTCAGAGACAACGAGGCTGAGTTGTCTAATTGTTTTAGTATAAACAACATAAAGAAAACGGAATTTTTCACTTGACTTTTATGTAAAATAATAACGTTTTAACGAAATGAGCGTTTAAATGGCTTCCTTGGCTTTGGCGACATTTCGTCTTGGCTTTGTTGACAACTACTAAGTGTTGCGAACTCCCAAGAATGACTTGAAAAATACAACTTGTGAGTTTTTAAAAAATTAAAAAAACATGTCATAAAACAGTATAATAGTAAGAGACCGTTATAGAAGCAAAGTTTGGTTAATTAAAGCTTATTTAAAAGAAGGAAACAAGACTTAAAAAATCCAAAATTTCGAACACAAAATGGCTTCCCGAATTTTTATTAAATTAGTAAATAAAGTTTACGTCGTTAAAAAGCCGATTAAAATGCACACACATGCAAAAGAATCCGATTATCCGAATGTCTTTGAAATCTTTAACATATCTGGAACATAAAGAGGGAAACTATTTCCATAATCTAGTATACATAGACAATATAGTTTAGATTAAAATTTAATCGAAAAACTCGACTTAAAAAGGCTCGAAAAAGACGAAAAACAAACTCGGCCAAAATCTCAACATTTAAACGTAAAAAAACTCTTTAAAATGACAGCTAAATACATGAACTCGTACTTAAAACAAGCACACACTAAAGAGGTTGAGAAAATAGGGATAAATAGCTACGAAGTATTGTTGAATTTCAACGATTCTGCTTGGAATATTAACAAACATTCTGCACATTTAAAAAATCGCCTGTCACTTTCATGTTCAAAACTACGAACAAAGTTGAGAAAACTTAAATTTTTTACCGCATGTGTCAGCAGTTTCCAAGAGTCTTTGTTTGTGTGTAATCCAGAACCAAAATTAGGCCATTTTGATAAGCTTTTTCCCTTTAAATACAGCTTTTAATGCTTAAAAACGGCCATTGACTCTCGCGCCCTTCGCCGCTGTTGCTACTAGTAGGCTATCACTAATAGCCTACTAGTAGCGTAGCCAATCAGAACGCACGATACATGATAGCCTACTAGTAGGTTTATACTAAATAACTATAGCCTCCTTCCCCTCCCCCCTCCTCCCTCTATTAGTAGGGCTGCTAAGACAAAAAATCGTTCAAATTGTGATCACATTCTGAAACTTGGCACAGATACTCATTAGCATATGGGGAATATGGAATGGAAGGACTGCCCAAAATTTGAGCAGGGGAAAGTGCCTATTTCGGCCTTCAAAATGGCCGACATTCTGTATGCACCTTGAGGAAAATTATCTCACTTAATCATCACATCTGTGAACAAATGAACAAGCCTAGTACACATGCATGCAAGAGAAGGCTTAAACAAGTTTTTCCACAATATTATATGTTGCACTGTCATGAAATTAAGGATATTTCAGAAAAACAGTAGTGCGCATGCGCAGTCACATCTCCCTGAAATTCGAATGTTTTATTGCTTTTCCTGGATATATTTTGCTATCTGTTAATGCATGCTGTTTGTTTTGGCAGCAACAAAGATAATATTTTAGCAACTTACACATACCTTAACTGTAATAACATTTGAAATATTGAAATATTACGGTAGCTCTTGCTATCAAAAACACACCTTCGCCTTGTGTGTTCTTTTTGGTGAAAAATAAATCACGGCAACGCTCACAAACGTATGGGGACTTTGCCCACAATTATAAGGGAATTGAAGTTCAAATGTGAACAATGCGAAATTGAAATTCTTTACGTCTGTCTGCGAGGTCCACATACGTTACTTTTTAACCAAGCACGGGTGTTTTGGCATTATCTAATATTTTGCTTGACAAACACACAGCTCCATACACTCTCTTTGCATTTACATCTACCAACCACAGAACAAATCAGCTCTTCACTAGTCACTTAGGATACGTCGGGCATCGACTGGCGGGAACCCAGTGTGTGGGTTCCAGCTCTACTCTTGCAGCTTCTGGACAATTGTACCACTTTTGTGCTTGTAACGCAGATCGTTTTACGTGTTCGTTCAATGCAGCAGTTGTTCAGTGACGTAGCCAGAACGATAATCGGGGGGGGGGGCATATTCATATATTCGTGTTCTGCTTTATTAATTTTTTTTGAAATCAATTGTTTTTATGTATAGGTTATTTTGAGGCAACGAGGGGATATGTGATTTATTCACCGAGGCGCGCAGCGCCGAGGTGAATAAACACATATCCCCGAGGTGCCTCAAAATAACGTACTTATTTTCACACTGCGAGGTCGCGTTAATGAGTCAAAATAAAAATAATTCTTAATGCCATATTGCCTTCGTTATGTTGTTTTTTTCTCATTTTTTTTGTACTGCAAAGACATTGCAGGTGAATATTAGAGGGGATTATTAATTGCAGGGGAATATTAGAGGGGATTATTAAACGGAAATTGATTAGAGGGGAATATTGAATATATTCCCCGATAAGAACAAAAGAAACCGAGCAGGGTGAAAAATAAGGTATGTAAACACGAATATATAAATATGCCCCCCCCCAATTATCGTTCTGGCTATGCCACTGCAGTTGCTGGGAGTATGTTGTCAATTATTTTTCCCTTGCTTGTCAATTATTTTCCCCTTGATACCCGAAAAGGTATCGCCTTGCATCGTTGATCTCTTCGCCGTCAAATGTGCTGCAATAAAAAGCTGCAACAAACTGTTCCAAAAGATCACCGTCTGCTTCACATATCTTACCTTCGGACGTTGCTACTCGTTCAAACACTAGAGTCAAGCTGGGTATTTGTTTCCATGTTTCGCTTAATGATTTCTTGCCTTTACCTTTGAACGCTGATGTGGTATCACAAAGAGGCTTGAGGTCCTAGTGGTGTGGTAATTACGTGGATTGGAAAGTACTTCAAATGCTTCCCACTCCAAACTTGAGCCACAGTTCTTGGAGGCCGTGGATCTTGTGGAAAGCTTTGAGTGCAACAACAACAACATCACTGTCTACAGTCTTGACCAAAACGCGTGGAGAAAGTTTAGCAGCACGTTGTGCATGGACAAACATACGTTTATCTGCGGCATCAATAATTCAAGATCTACATCCTGATTCGCACTACCCTGCCGTCTAGAGACCCCGTACACGTGTATCAATGCTTTCAATCAGTACTTTAACGAAGAAGAGAAACAGTTCCGTTTTGTTTTTGTCGCATCTAAGAATCGTTGACTAATTGTCTGGCATACTCCCGTTGCTTTCACGAGCCTCCTAACACCAGAAGTCCAGAACCACGGTTTGACCGCGTACCAGACTTTAAACTGCCCTTAAAGTACCTATCAAAAAACCAAGTTGATTAGCTGACCTTAGATGATATTTTATTTTCGGTAGAATGACATTTGAAAATAAGGTGAAAACAAAACGGAACTATTTTTACTGGTTGAAAGCATTGATACACGTGGACTATTCCTGGGGTCTCTAGATAACCGAGTTGTGGCGACAACCTCGTACCCAGGGTTTTTTGCTTCCTCGGTCGGATGGTCAGCGAAAAAGGCCCTGGCATTGGCTGGTCTGTTTTGCAATCTGATTGGTCAATGATTTTGAATATAATTATTCAATATACGTGGGAAATAATTATTATTTTGGTGAAACGAGAGTGGAGTGACAAATTTATCATTAGTTCTTGAAGGACTAAAGTATTGAGTAAATTAAAATTAAGTCTTTGTACATTTGTATAGACGAGTATTTGATTCGTTTCAACATACATTTCTCACATGCGTTGTTTATACATCGTCGATTTCAAGAAACGTACAGCGTTATACTTATAGTCAAAGATTGTGATACGAATATATTTGCTCATAACACGATTTATATAAACCAAACGGCAAACGCTGAAGCGGTTTAAATTTGTTTTGTTTGGTTGTTCATTAAGAATTGAGCAAGAATTGATCGGGCTATGTTGCTGAATGAGGTGTAAACAACGAAAACCGAATAAACTTAACTTATTTCGTTGCTTTCCCTTTGATTATATATACGCAGGATTGAGTTTGTTTACTCCTGTCAGTAATTACAATGTATATCATTATTCTATATACGTACTTATACGCATAAATTATCATAATTGAACACCCCAAATCCTGGAGATTTTGAGGTCATGTGACCGGCCGATGCCAGGGCCATTTTCGCTGACCGGAAGCAAAATGCTCTGGGTACGAGGTTGTTGTGGCGAATCAGGATGTAGATCTTGGATTGTTGATGCCATGCAACATCGAAGAAGCCGATAAACGTATATGTCTCCATGTCCAACATGTCGCTGAACTCTGTCCACAGGTTTTGGTCAAGACTGTAGACTGTGACGTTGTTATTGTTGTTTTGCACTCGGAGCTTTCCACAGGATCCACAGCCTCAAAAAACTATAGCTTGAGTTTGGAGTAAGGAACGTTCCAATCCGCAAAATTGCAGCATCCTTAGGACCTCAAATCTCCATCGCTTAACCGCGTTCCTGTTTTTCTACGCATTAAGTGGCTGATACCACATCATCGTTGAAAGGTAAAGGCAATAAATCATTCAGTGTTGCAAAAAATCATTCAGAGGAGCAACGTCGGAAGATAATATATGTAAAGCAGACAGTGATCTTTTGAAACAATTTGTTGCAGCTCTTTATTGCAGCACATTTGATGGCGACAAGGTCAACGATGCAAGGCGATACTTTTTCATAAGCAAGGGAAAGACCATTGACAATATATTCCCAACTGCCAACAACTGGTGCATTGGACGAACACGTAAAAACGATCTGCGTTACAAGCACGAAAGTGATACAATTGTTTATGAAGCCGCAAGAGTAGCGCTGGAACCCACATATTGGGGATGAATGAAGGATGGCGAAGTTTGGAGCCGCAATGCCGCATGCCCGACGTTTCCCAATGACCGAAGCGCTGATTTGTTGTCAGGGTGTAGTGGTGCACCAAATGTAGGGTTGGTAGATGAAATGCAAAGAGTTTGTTGAAGTATACAGAGCTGTGTAGATGTCACTAAGCGAAATGTTAGATAATGCCAAAAACAACCATGCTGAGTCAAAAATTAACATTGCGGACCTCACTGACAGACATAAAGAATATAAATTTCGCGTCGTTAATATTTGGTCTTTAAATGAGTATATAGCTCCTACTTTTGAAACATAGCAATTCCTTTATATTTGTGGGCAAAGTCCCCGTACATTTGTGAGCGTTACCGTAATTTATTTTTTACCAAAAAGACCACACAAGCCAAAGGAGTCTTGTATGACACTTTATGACGCGTTATATGACATTTTACTCTTTATATTATATATTCTGGATACAATATACTCAGGAAAAGCGGTAAAACATCAAATTTTAGGGTAATGTGACTGCGCATGCGCACTACTGTTTTTCTGAAATATCCTTAATTTCATGACAATGCAACATACAATATTGTTGAAAGCCTTCTCTTGCGTGTATTTTTGTTAAGCGTGTCCATTTGTTCACAGATGTGATGACTAAATGAGATAATTTTCCTCAAGGCGCATACGGAGTGTCGGCCATTTTGAAGGCCGAAATAGGCACTTTCCCCTGCTCAAATTTTGGGCAGTCCTTCCATTCCATATTCCGCATATCTTAATGAGTATCTGTGCCAAGTTTCAGAATGTGATCACAATTTGAACGATTTGCCTAAATTTGGCGTCTTAGCAGCCCTACTATATGTTTTTTGCCATGGTTTTCAATGTCGCTAATAGCGTCAAGTCTTCTCATAACTAATTTTTAAATACTCGAGTGAGAAAAGCTGACCCTACGAAGCTGCCGTTTGAACAAAATGATACCCATGCAGGCACTTTTCGGACATAAAGTCTTTGCTTTTCCACATATTGTCGTAGCTACTGGTGTAATTTTTCCGACAACAATCGTGTCCCACGTAAAGTATCTAGACAGATAGATAAATGGCTCAAACACGCAATGAGAATTACATTTGTATTGAATTCATATCTTTTCCACAGTAAATCTAGATCTATATAAATTGGAAAATAAAAACAATTATTTCGAACGTTTTTGGATATAAATAATCTGTTGAGAAAAAATTTTCTAAACCTAAATTTTGCAAGTATTGATCCAAAAAAGAGTTTTACCAATGTAATTGAACAAGAATTTGTCCGGGATAAAATGTCTTGAACTTAATTAACTTAACTGATGTTAGTCCGGAAAAAATTTAACACCACCCCCCGCTCGCCAACATTTTTTTGAAAAAATAACCTCGAAAAACATTTTTGCCCCGAGCCCCCGCATTTCTCTGATCGGCCTTGATTATTTAATAATTACAATTATTATAATTATATTTTTACTTATTTACTTTGCCATCATACTTATACATTCATTGGCTGGGAAACTACAACAGCTATTGCCAATTACAGCGCCCTTATATGGTGTACATAAAAAAACAAGACCTTCAGAAATCAAGATATAGTTGTTATAAGCACAATATTTGATGCTCATTGGAATTTAATTAATATAGCTTCTAATCGTATCAAGGAACATAACTACATAAAAATTGTCAAATTACTGATTTATCTTATCGTCAGCTTGAATAAAAATGGTTCAACTGACCACATAGCAACGAGTTTTTTACTGTTTTACGGAGTTTTACGCGCTATCGTAAATCAATCAGCACAAAATTCATATGTTAACTGCATGGATGAAACCAAATTATAGTTTTAAATGACTTCGTCATGCACAAAATTCACTACCATTCTGTTTTACGTAGCCGTGTGTGCAATATTGTGGTTTGCATTCAAATCCTCACCCTCTACAGTATTACAGTGGCGTGATTTTACCCAATTCGCGAAACACTCTGCCGGATTATATTTCAAACCTTTCAATAAGGTACTGTATTTGTATCATATTTATAGATACACCATATAAACGCTCTTGTATAGTCAACATTTTCTTGGTTAATTTAACGTAGAAATAATTCTCTTTAATTGGGTTAATTAGCTGAATATTTCAGGTTAAAATCTATGGTTATTTTCAAAATTTTGTTAGAACATATTTTGATTTATAGTGAATACTACCAATTTTATCATAGGAAAATGTAGAACTCGAAATAGCAAATTGATACTGAAAATTTAAAGAGTAATCTGGCTAAACCTGTGCTTATAATTGACCTTTGAACGAAACTGACTTCAAGTTAAATCAAAGTCTGCAAAATTTGTCCCTCTCCATTATTTTTTCTTAGATGCCTATGGGCAGATTTGAATAGAAAATTAACGTCATACTTATATTTATCTCGCAGTGTTTGCCCGCAAAACCTTCGGCACAACTGCAAAGATAGTCGCCATGGTAACCCAGACATGTTCCACCATTCTTACATGGTTTAGATTCACATGGAAAATCTACACAAAGAGAATAAGAATTGGTAGACAAAAATAATATCCAAATAATGTTAAGTAACCTTAATATCACAGTACATGCATGTTCGTTACATAATTTGAAAATTGTGGAATAATAAAACCTCAATGTTCAGCCATTCACTTCCGGAGAAGATCTCGAACGCATGGAAAGATGAGGTGTCGTCAATTATCTTACCACGACAGTATTACGAAAAAGTCTTGGACCACTTTAACTCTTGCATAGTTTCCCAAGATGCCAAGACATGTGTTCAATAACATCAATAAAGAACCATCACTTAAGCTTCTCTTTAGGGTCAAAAGATTTTGTAATAACTTTCGCCCATTTAGTGATAGATACATCTCTGATAGATCACAAAAATTTTTTGCCTGCCTTTTGTAGGCTATATCGTTATCTTTTCTGCATTCAATTATTTAATTCGTAGATTTGTTTCATTTAATAACTTATATCTAACGACTTTTCTACCTGTTTATGAAACGTTAGATATTTTAAATGTAATATTTTTGAAATTTATAAGTCACGCAACTCAGCCTTGGGCTACAATGTAAATATCTTAATTAATCTATCAAAATCCAGCACATTAATATGTCGTAAATGTCGATAAATGAGGATAGATGAATGAATCGAGACTTCAATATAGCTTTAACACTGATAAAAACATCAGTTTGCCTCATCCTTCATGGCTTCACATGCAACGCCTGAGGGCGTACTCCTGCAGATATCCACTGGGCTCACTGGGCAGAACCGACTATAGCCATTTCACTGTGCAGCTGGAGTGTTATTTAAAAAAAATCCTGGAGTTATGCTCTCCGACAAACACACATCTAACATTAAAACGACATGGAAACAATATTTGTATATGAATTTTTTTTTTCTGTGCTGGTGTTGTGTACTCAGGTGAATAATATGTTTGTGATGTTACTCTGAGTGCATATCCACACCGGGCGAGCTTGAAAAATATGCCCGGCCACGGTCGGATTCGAACCTACGACCTTTGGAATAATAGCCCAATGCTCTCCCAACTGAGCTACGCGGTCAGGACGGTTCGAGTAAATGATATTTCGGAACAGTATCTAGTTCCTTCAATACCAATGTGTTCTTGTAATATGAATTTTTTATCCGGGCATATTTTTCAAGCTCGCCCGGTGTGGATATGCACTCAGAGTAACATCACAAACATATTATTCACCTGAGTACACAACACCAGCACAGAAAAAAAAAATCATATTACAAGAACACATTGGTATTGAAGGAACTAGATACTGTTCCGAAATATCATTTACTCGAACCGTCCTGACCGCGTAGCTCAGTTGGAAGAGCATTGGGCTAGTATTCCAAAGGTCGTAGGTTCGAATCCGACCGTGGCCGGGCATATTTTTCAAGCTCGCCCGGTGTGGATATGCACTCAGAGTAACATCACAAACATAATATTTGTATATGTTTGCTTAAAGCGTTTTGTGATGAATGAATATAATGAGCACGCATCTTCCTTGTAGCAAGTCTGTTACCATCATAAAACTTTTAGCGAAGTGACAACAACTTGTTCCAGACTTGTCACAAAATTAACTCGGTCAAGTTTGTTGAACACTACCTGATCAGTATCAGTACATTTTTACAACTGATTGTCTTGTTTACCGATTGTTAAAATTTGCGTGCATTTGCGCGTACATCTAAAGCTTCTCACCCCTCCCATTCACGATTAAAATGAATGGTACGTAATACCTTTTACACAACCACTAAAATCAGCTCTGAGTGCAGCATTGTTATGCCATGACCGTGGATAAATTCTCATATACCTGGCCACGATGACGGGAGAAACATCCCGACGTACAATTGTGTTTTGATCTCTGTTTGCTGAAAATATCTGAAGAAATTATAAAGGATTTGATATAAATCTTGAGATCGATGTAATCATATCAAAATTGTCAATATCTCAAGAACGAAACGAGCTAATTAAGATTGTTTGGCAAACTATCTTTTTTCGTGAATTTAAATTTTGATTGTAAGGCAATTTCATAAAAATGGTGTAAGATGCAATCATTGTAATCATTGAAATAAAATCATTGTAATCAATAAACTCAGACTAATCTTTCAAATGCAATCATTGTGATGTAATAATAAAAATTATATGAAACATAGCGATGTTTTGGGACTTATAATTGCAGCTACATTTACTTTGGCCTGAAACAAAGTGACTTAAAGAATAAATACTATGGGTAGGTAGCAACGTTAGAAGTAGTTGCAAAGAGTGGGTTATTCAACTGCTTGAAAAATAAGAAAACAATTTCCCGACAAAAATCACATTTCACGACACTAAAATCAAGCATTTCACATTTCACGCGCACAAATATTGACCATTCACGTCTCACGAAAATACTCTTTCCCACCCTCCTTTAAGACTGATATAAAAGGGTTTTTTAGAAAGCCATTATAAAATTAATTCACTTAATCGTGTGGAAAAACAAGCTATGTAGGTATATGTGTTGGTAGTACCAAAGTGAAAATGCTGTGCTGAGTGTTTATATATTACTACCTTAAAAAATAAGCAGAAACTCGACGTTTCGAGCGAAGGCCCTTCGTCAAGAGTTAGTGGACTAACTCTAACTACTAACTCTTGACAAAGGGCCTTCGCTCGAAACGTCGAGTTCTGCTTATTTTTTAAGGTAGTAATATAACCACTCAGCATGGCATTTTATGTAGGTATATTACTGGTAATTTTACAATTTCTTTACAACACAATCGCGAAATATTGCGCAAAATTTCGTTCCATGAATAAATAGTGTAAAACTTATTTATTCTAACCATATAACTGTACATTTGTGTACCTTTTTGGTACAAATTTGACTTTAATGCAAAAAAGAAATATTGAATCACTTTCAATACTAACAGCAATTCTTATTTCTGAATGGTAATTATTCATAAATTAATTAAAGTACCTTCAACACTCCATTTTGACGATGTGGATGGAAATCACGACCATTACTGCTGTAGGATAAAGTGTAACTTTTCACCCACTGAGGATAATCACCTCGTCCTTGTGTTAATACTTCAGAAACTGTTGCCTGAAGTTCAAAATCTACTTGTAGCCATGATCCAGAGGCCGTCCTTGGAACCCATGCGTGACTATTTCGTGGTCGTCGTAGGTTCAGTCTTGCATTATTTGCGCCATTGTTGCTGGCCCATTCCGTTGAAGCGGTAATTTGTGCGTCCAAGATCTCGCCATTTTCCATGCCAAGACGCAATGGTTCCTTGCAATCTAAAAATTAAACAAGTCATGAACTTCCTTTTATAGTATAAGAAAATTTGTAATACATGTATATGGATAAATGTTAGACCTGCATGTGCGACCATGATTAGAATAGCAATACATTTTATTTTACAAGAATAGAGATTGGTGGATAAAATAAAAATCATATTCTCACAACGGACGATATTTTACACGTGTGAAATTTAGCATATCAGCTTCCCGATTCTATAAACTTTTTTCACATTGCCTAAGCAGAGTTTCGAGTGGTTAGTCGTTTTGCACTCATAATTATAAAACATGGCGCGGTTTTAACGAACTAGTCGATGAAATGAGAGTTTTGATTGCATTGTTCGCTACAAAGTGAATATACTGGGATCATTAAGAAGACAGGCAAAGCTAAAAATACGTAATATTATTAAAACTCTTTGACTGAAATTCCAGAAAGAAAATAAAGAGATAAGCATTAAAAAGAATCTAGATCTGTCCTTCGGGTTACCTACAGTATACTTCGCATGTGTACCGTTCGCAGTGAGTCGGTCAAGAACACTGTGTCCAATATTTACCTATTAGGCTACAAATTTTGGTTAATTTACAAAGTTGGTTTTATGTCATGCAGTTTCGGCGTGCCCTAAAAGCTTTTTTTCTTTCTGCTCCACCACCCCCCCTCCCCCCCACCATGCAACATGCACGTCAATGCCGCCGATATCCCATACGTATTGTCGCTGTATTATTATTATACGGACAATTTTTTGTTTCAGGATTATTTTCATTACAATAAAACACATATTAGATCCATCTTTGCCCAATCAGGCAAAATATTGACGAAATACAGTATATTTCCAAATTTGGCTTCGAATAATTAACCTACTAAGTTGTAAGGCACATCATTAAAATATCAAATACCTTTCTGTTCGCAGGTTTTCCCATAATACCCTGGGAGACAAGTACACTGGAAATCTTTTCCAACATGTTCACAACTTCCTTCATGAAGACATGGATCATCTGAACAGGGTTGATCTAAAAACAGATAAATTTTCCATCTATTATTCAATACATTGGAACGAAATTTCACATCGCAATTTAAATTATATTAAAGATAATTCAGTATCAGTAATATATAAGATACTTTGCCAGATTGTCTTAGATTGTTTCTTTCTTGAGATATTGGAAGTTTGTACAGTTGTGCTTGCCGTAGATTACCTTGCAAGGCAGAAATAACTTTGTGCCTGGCCGCGCTTCTATGCAGTTGCAAGGCAGAAAAAGTTATGTACTCCGCTTCTATGGAGCTGAAAACAATTTATGTGCCGCCTTACCTTTTGCTCCGGCCCCGTATAAAATACATTTTGGATCGCCCCTTATTTCAACGAGCGGATTTTTTGAGTGATACTGTGGAACGCAAACAAAGCGAAAGCAAATTCACACTTGCTCTTAACAATATAATGTTTCCTTCAAAATTGTACCGACAGTTATTCGGCTGATTCGGTAACTCATAGTAATAGTTTGCTGGGCGTCACCGGTTGCAAAATAACATAATGTTACACAAAGCCTTTCACTGGGTCCAATGGTTTCACGTCTTTTGTTAGATTTAGTTATGTATGGCCCTATCACTGGCGTTATCATAACCAAAGGTCTCTCGTACTTTTGGAGTGTGATCAAATGTGATCCTGGCAAGAAGTTAACATTCGCCCTTTTGTCTACGTTTTTGCGCTAGACATTTTTCGCCGCGAAATTGTTTCGCCAGCGGCGGCGAAAGGTTTGAGTGGAAAACGAGCGTATAGTGGTGTAAAGTTCATGGTTTATGGGTGTATCTCATCATTGGTCTCGAAAATATGGCTGATTATAAGCAAGATATCAATTTTCAATGAGCAAGATATCAATTTTCAAAGACATGACTTTTTGGAAAATCGTTTCATACTCAACGAGCTTTATCTTTAAAGCAATTTTTGTTTGAAGAAGTGAGAAGAATTGATTTACTATGAGAAATCGTGAAATATAAGGCAAGTTCGCTTTGAATGTTTAATGTTTATGAATCTTGTTGCTTTTACTATTTACTTAAAAACATAAACTGTTTCCTTTCCAACGGAGCTGTAAGTTTCCTAAATTACCCTGTTTCATTTAAGAAATCTTAAAATGCAAAGGAGAGCAAATTGATTTGCAGGCGGAATTGAATTACCCAATAATTTGAACTTATGTTTCATCAAGTAAAAACAGTTTATCGGCAGATATAGTTTAGTGGAATAAAGATTTCAGAACATTTTACGAAGCGTTTCAAGTTAAATTTTACAAAATGCAAAATAACATGCCGTATATATTTCGGAAATTCATTATTGCACAATTACAAGTACTAATCCTTCAACTATTTTTCAGTTTGGTACAAAAAAATTAAATAATTAAAAATGAAAAAATATCGTGTTGTCATGGCAACACTTTAAACGCAACGGATGCTTGCGTTGAATGTTGGCCATTTTCGAATGCTTCATGTTAAAACAATGTTTGGGAAATATAGGCAAGGGGTTGCTGCAAGCATGTATTTCTAGTTCACGTATTGGGAAACAGAAAGCATTGGAGAAGTCTAAAATTGTTTCATGGTGTATGGGTGGATTTTCTAACTGATCTTAGAAATACATGATGACTGTTAGCTAGGAGTGGGATAAGCAAGATTCCAATTTTCAAACACATATGTTTAGAAATCGTTTCATTCATTGAACTTCCAAGCAATATTGCTTTGAAGAAATGAGAAGATTGGATTTATTATGGGAAATCGGGAAATGTCGAGACAACCTCGTACGCAGGGGTTTTTGCTTCCGCGGTTGGATGGTCAGCTAAAAAGGCTCTGGCTACGGCTGGTCTGTTTTGCAACTTGATTGGTCAATGATTTCGAATGGAATTCAATATATGTGGGAATGATTATCATTTTGGCGGAACGAGTGCAGTGGCAAATTTATAATCAGTTCTTAAAGGACTAAAGTATTGAGTAAAGAAGATTTTTAGTCTTTGTACATTTTGTATAGATGAGTAGTTCAAGTAGTTGCTTCAATTCAACATACATTTCTCACATACGTTGTTTTTACATGTACGTTGATTTCAAGAACCGTTCAGCGTTATAGTCAAATAAAGATTTTGATAGGAATATATTTGCTCATATACGGATTTACAGTAAAGCAAACGCTGAAGCGGTTTGGTTATTCATTAAGAATTGAATCACAGGCTAACCAGGCTCTGCATATGTTAAAAAGTCATCAATATTACGGGCTATGTTGCTGAATGAGGTTTAAGCAACGTTGCTTTCTCTTTGATTATATACGCGGCATTGAGTATGTTTACTCCTGTCAGTAATTACAATGTATATAATTATTTGATTTACGTATTAAAAGCATAAATTATCATAATTGAACACGCCAAATACTGGAGATTTTGAGGTCATGTGACCGGCCGATGCCAGGGCCATTTTCACCGACCCGAAACAAAATGCTCTGGGTACGAGGTTGATGTCGAGAACGTTCAACTTGGATTGTTTAATATTTATGAATTTAGTTGCTTTGATTTTTTCCCCTAAGCACGAACATTGTCGTATTCATTTAACGAAAATGTGTTGAAATTTCCTATAATATTATCCTGTCTAATCACAGGAGGCCCAGGCTCGATTTGACAGCGCCCGCCTGTGCCTTCCTTATAACGAGGAAGGAAGGAGACATTGCATGAGACCAAAATAGCCCAGACTTGGCATATGTCACACGAAACTATCCTAGATTTTTCGCTTTTAATGCATTTCTTTCACGATTAATCGATATCCTCTGCAAGAATGATACCGTATAACTCTCAAAACAACGAAGCTTTAATCAAAGAGCTTAAATTCCCTCTGAAATCCGTGAGGGAATAACAAAATTCGGCCAAAATATATCCGCGTGCCGGGTTTGCTGTGCAAAAAGCGGAAGTCGTTGAACAACTCAAAATACACTCAACCCTGATTGGACAGCGAATATCAACAAACAATTCAAATTTTTTTAACAAACACAACGTGAAATACAATTTATACGTACTACAGTTATATTTACATGCAGTAATATTTACACTTTATACCGTTTGTAAATAGTATTGATTGTATGATTGAAATTATTACATTACTGTTAAAAAAAATTGAAATGTTTGTTTATATTCGTTGTCCAATCAAAGTTGAGTGTATTTTGAGTTGTTCAACGACTCCGCTTTTTGCACAGCAAACCCGGCACGCGGATATATTTTGGCCGAATTTTGTCATTCCCTCACGGATTTCAGAGCGAATTTAAGCTCTTTGCATGATTAAAGCATCGTTGTTTTGAGAGTTATATACGGTATCATTCTTGCAGGGGATATCGATTAATCGTGAAAGAAATGCATTAAAAGCGAAAAATCGAGGATACTTTCATATGACATATGCCAAGTCCGGGCTATTTTGGTCTCAATGTCTCCTTCCTTCCCTCGTTATAAGGAAGGCACAGGCGGGCGCGGGCAAATCGAGCCTGGGCCTCCTGTGGTTTAATCAACTATTTTTGTCATTTCGTGCAAAAAATATAAAAGGTTTCTAAAAATTTAAAATGATTGTATTCGTGTTGCCATAGTTAATATCAAATCAATGTTTGAATATTTTAAGATAGTGTATAATTTAACGCCAATCAGGTCAGAGAGTTTTAAAAATGTTAGGATTTGGGCATTTGCTGCGTCTAGCTTACCTTCAAAACAACCATGAACTTCAGCTCTCAGGGAGATGTGCGATTGCCAAGACTTTGGTTGGATTCTGATAAATCTTGCTACAACAACGGGCGAAAGTTCTTGACGGACAACACTATTTCGGTCAATGTTGCCTGAAAATACCTGTATCAAAAAGATACATCATTTTAGCAATGAAACACTTATCTATTATAGTTTGAATGCAGATGAGGATCTGCTCATTAATCTCAAAAATATGGCTACTTTCCTGGAGTGGGATAAACAAAATTTGAATTTTTAAAAACATATATTTGGAAAATCGTTTAAAGAAATAAGAATAATTGATTGATTACGGGGAATCAATGTGAAATATACGGCAAGTTTGCTTTGAACATTTAATGTTTGTGAATTTTCTTGCGGTAATTATTTAACAATTATTGAATGAGGTTAAGCACGATATGAAGAATTATCAAGCCCGAAGTTTGCCGTTATCAACCGAAGCCGAAGGCTGAGGTTGATAACGGCAAACTGAGGGCTTGATAATTCTTTATATTATGTGAAAACCGAATTCAATAATTGTTTTATTATTTATTTAAAAAATTCAAAACAAACGGTCATCCATTTGTTCGCCCGCGTTAATAATCAGCCAAACAAGAATTAGGGAAAGTGTTCTTACCTATTCTAGAAGCTTTTGTTTATCTTTTTGTATTTAACGAATCTTTATACTCCAGTAATTCTTAAATTTCGGCTTTGCCAAGGTTGGCGAACCTTTCAATGGAAGAAGCCATTTGTATTTTACTTGTATTAAGAAAAAAACAATTCTTTAGTCCTTCTGCAGCCGTCGTCGTCATATCGATGGCGTCAGCGAGTCAATATGATTCTCGTCGTCATAGTAATATGGCGCAAGCGCGTCCAATTTTTTTTCATATTGACTCTTTGACGTCATTTTGCTATTATGAATGTGAAAAACGTAGATTTCGTTAGCCATTGAGTTGATATGACAATTTCACAGTTGGCTGTTAGCCAATCAGAAACCAGGAATTTTTTAAATAAATAATAAGTACATTTAACGATGCCCTGGGTCCTTTTCAAAACTGGTACGCGACAGCGACAGCAAACAAACGGACTGAATCCAATGATTGCAAAAAAAAAACTTGTCGTCTATTATTTAACGTATGGATCAATATGGATTAAGGATTAAGGTTAACCAAGGTTTATGATTGAGAAATTCCAGCACCAATATAAGACCAATACACCTACAAAGTACCAGAAATCAACTTCTCCTTGTTTGGACTAATAAATGCATAAAATTTAATTTACTTTTGAAATTTGCATTTGCAATTCATTTTAGCGAGTGAGATGCCCAAATTTTAAAGTGATTTCCGAAGATCATGGTATTATAATTGTTTTAATGCAACCGGACAAAGAGCTGCCGGACGAAAAAATATACCACAGTTGGGTTACCTTATCTTGCGCTTTATCCCCTTTGTATGTTTTAAAGTTAATGCCATCGTCAGAATAAGCAACAGTGTAGCTTCTAACCCATTGATATGCATTCCTTCGGCCTTGTGTGAGAATCTCTGTAACTGTTGCTCTATATTTGAAATCAACTTGCAGCCACTGGTTGGTATTTGATGGGCGAGCAATCCAGCATCTACTCCCATGTAATCTGCCGTATCCTGGACCCCAGTCTCTATTCCATTCACTCGAGGCTTTGAGTCTTGAATTTGGGATCTTTCCATTCTGCATTCCTAACGCTTTAGGGTCCTTGCATGCTAGAACGAAAAAAAAGCCGTTTTAAATAAAGGGTACATTTCTTGTGTGACTACAAAGTCAAACGAGGAAGTTACCATGGTATAATAATTTAGAAACTACTTACTAAATAATGCAATGTTTTACAAAAATGAATACATATTTGTTATTTACCGGCTGCGAGGTCCGTACTGAAAAAATATTTTCCCGAGATCTCAGAAGCGGCCCGAGGCCGAAGGCCGAGGGACGCTTCTGAGGCTGAGGGAAAATAATTTTTAGTACGGACCGACCTAAACGGTAAATAACGTGTTTATTTTTTTATTTGATAGCTCATGGTTATAATGAAATTCCGATAAAATTCCAGTTGCGAAGTACATTTGAGATCAGTTGCGTCTGTTACTTTAGGGCAAGCATGGCTGACAAACTGCTAAAACGACGCGATAACAGCTGGATAAAAAGCTTTTATAGTTTTATTGCAATAGATGATTTTCTACTCAACAAGAAAACAGAAGGTAAACAAAGTAAACATATTTATTTTCCGATTTGTTTTGCAGCATGGACATGCTTGAAAAAATGCTTTTTGACAGACAAATACGAATTTTTGTTGCCGAAAAACAATTTGTTGTTTACAATCATTTATAAATACAATTTTTCCCGAATAAGCCCAGGAATCGTCTTTAAACTGCCATTTAATATTAAGGTTGTTTTTTTAATTAACATTTTATCATATGTTTAAGCACAAGTTGTACGTTGTACTATTTATATTTATACGTATATTTTTGAAGAATAGCTGAATATATGTGGAACATTTGAATCAAAACATGTAGCACTGGCAAGTGTTTTTCGATGTTTATATTTGTTTTTTTCGCAGTTTGGTCGGAGAAAAGTACATTTCGGGCTTGGCACTAAGTCCACTGAAGCCAATTTACTGTATTTTACTATCTTTAGTATCGATAGGGCGGATTTTTAAACTTTTTGGGTAGTGTTTTGAGTTTGAAAATTGTCTTCACTCCTCGGTTTTTGGTAAAAAATAACTCTTTTGGACCACGGTCAAGATATCGTAAAAAGCTGCCCGCTGCTGCAGCCAATCAGATTGCAGGAAATCAAAAATATCACTAGGCATGCACAAATAAAAAAATAAATTAAAATATTCTAGGATATACATTTTCATGAACTGTACGACCACGTGGCGTTTTTTGTCGCAAGATACATATTTGTGAAATTATATAGTACATGAATATATTCAATAGCCCTTTCATCTCCAGATGTTTGCCCCTAGAAAAACTCATTAAAACTTACTTCGTTCTTCACATTGTTTTCCTGTGTATCCTGGTGTGCACTCGCACGTGAAATTACTTCCCTCATTGATGCAAAATCGTCCATGATTGCAAGGTCCTGAAGCACAAGGCATACCTGAAAATATATGAGTACACAGTTAGGTAAGTTTTAAAAAGAGTGAAAAGATTGTTGTTTGATCCAATTTGTACGTAGACGTGGGAGGTATACGTAGTGTTATGTATTTGGGAGGTCCCTATAAGTTTAAAATCATAGTCAAACTGATGGATAGGATATTCAAAGACATGTATATAACGGTGATATCTTCAGGGATGCCGCAACCACGGGTGCAGTGCGGCTGCACAAAGTGCCCTTTTTTGCGTTAAAATTTTTCATTAAAATTGCATTTTTTGCCCAAAGTGCATTTTTGAAAAATTCAATATATGTTATTTCCGGAAAAATGTTTTAATTTCCGGAACAAATAACATATATTCGGAAAATTTTTTTTGGTATATCCGGAAAATTTGAAAAAAAATGTGGTATATCCGGAAAAAAATTTTGACCCCCCAAATGGTACACCGACCGAAAATTTTTTGGCGACGTGGTAGGGGGGGGGGGAAGGGGGAGGGGTCGCCAAAAATAATTTTTAGATGCTCTATCGCCCTACGCCCCTGCCCTTTCATTTTCATTTTCATTGGTGCCCTTTTGTTATAGAGTATGCCCTCTTGTTAACCAATTGCACCCCTTGCCATCAGCAACTTCCGGCATTCCTGGATATCTTCAATGAAGGCCAAGCGTTTCTACCATATGTCTCAAGAGCTTCGGTTTCCGAAGAATGGCGTGAATGATAATTTTATAGAATAAATCTGGCAGCGAAATCGTTTTATATAATATAATACTAGAAAAACATGCATACAGTAACTTATTGTCTATATTTTTCAAATATTGATTTGACATGAAGCGTGTGACTCTATTAATCATAATATTCTTTGGCGCAAAATGAAAGAACAATTAGGGATTTCAAGTATTGAATTGAAACTGTTTGATTCCTATCTTTCTGATAGAGAACAAGTGTCATTTGTTAATGGTGCAATGTCAGCACCAAAAAGGATTGTTTGTGGGGTCCCTCAAAGATCCATATTGTTCTTGTTGTATATTAATGATTTATCTGATTGTCTTGAGAAGTCACCTCCATGCTTATATGTAGACGATTCACGGATACTTTATCCGCGATTTTAACTTAATGGTAATTTAAATCATGATTTAAACAATTTTAGTCAATGGCTAGTCTTTTAGAAACTGTAGCATCATTCAACAAAAACCAAACTAATGTATGTTGGATCAAATCATAAAAATAAAAATGAGTTTCGCGTAATTATTAACGATCAGCTGATTCCCAGAGTGTACTCAATCCTGTGTTTGGGAGTTAAACTTGATGACACATTGAATTGGGACAAACGGACCGAAATGGTTTAAAGCAACAAACTTCGTAAATATTAAACATTAAAAGAAAACTTGCCCTATGCTATATTCCCCGAGCCGGCGGCGCGAAGCGCCGTGCGAGGGTACTAATTCCCCCCGGCTATTTACACCCGGAGAAACGAAAGCATTAGGGAAGTCTGAAGTTCATCAATGAGCGCGGGCGTCGGTCACCAACGATGGGTGGTCATCCTCACTGATCTCAAAAATATGGCGGACTGTCATTAAAAGCGGACACTGATTGGTCCAAATTAAAGTTTGCATTATAACGGCTGCATGACGACAGCGAAATAGCAAACATTTGACATTTCTTGATTTGATGAGTTGATGATTGACAAATTTCTTGCAAATATTCTTCATTTTTGCTCGTATTTCTGCAAGATTTTGTAAATTTCAAGAAAGAAAGGGCGAAAGAATCAGCTAAAAGAAGGGAGCCGACGTTAACAAAGGTAAGTTTGTTTTAAATATTGATTTTATAATGGCTTTAAAACCCGACGGCCTTTGCGTATATGAAACAACTAAACAAGACAGCATATAATTTCAGTGTATCTTTAATATTGCTCCCTTTTTTATTATATTGAATTTTTTAAATAAAAATAAAGCAAAGTTATTTGCAAGCGAGAATTTGAAATCATTTTATTGCAAAACTCAAAGTTTATCGATAAAGCCATTTAATAGTTAAAGGCAGTTTAGTTTTATAAAGAACACTTTAAAACGTTTTGTCAATTGTTTGTGGTGGAATTTTACCTTAAATTGAAGCTTGTATTACGTATAATTACATACCTAACATAAATATGTTGGGAAATTGATAATTTTGTAATTAAAAGTGATATTTTTAGGCGATTTTTCATTTGTATTAAGAATATTCTTAAAAAATTATCGTGTTACCATGACAACTACTTTAGATACTTCATGTTCGTAAAATACAACGGTTTTGTCAGCAATGCGAGGGTTTCTGCATGCATGTATTTTCTAGTTTTAACTATATTATTGCAATCAGTGAGGTCCACCAATGAAGTTACGCGCCCGCGATTATCATTATTATTATCATCATCATCTTCATCATCGTCACCGTCACTGTCACCATCATCATCATTTTTGTTGTTATTATTATTATCATTATCATTATCATTATCACTGTCATTGTCATTGTCACTGTCACTGTCACTGTCACTGTCACTGTCACTGTCACTGTCACTGTCACTGTCACTGTCACTGTCACTGTCACTGTCATTGTCATTATTGTTATTATTATTATTGTTATTATTATTATAAAAATAATAATAACAATATTACTATATACTATTACTATTACTACTATTATTATTATTATTATTATTAACATGTCGAATGATAATCATAAAACTGAACTAACCACCCTACTTAATGAACTAATGACTGATATTGACTCAAAGCCACTACATCCCAAAAATAAACTGCTCCTCTACAGTCGCTACGTCTTGTCCAAGTTAGCCTGGCACTTCACCGTCGCAACACTCTCTAAAACATGGGTTACTGAAAATATCGACTCTATTGCCAACAAATATATCCGCAGATGGCTTGATGTACCAATATCAGGAACACTAAGTACTGTCTTTCTAACAAATAACAAATTTGGTCTGAGTATTTATCCTCCATCTGTAAAATTTATCCAGTGTCAAACAATCCTCCGAAATGCTTTAAAATCTTCTCCTAATGGATCAACTAACGACCTGTGGAAAACAACCAGTAACCATACTAATATCCAATATGACGCTTATAGCTCTGCTAAGGAAGTTCTCAAAGATTTTCGTTCTGGACACGAAAACAAACTCCTGAACCAATTAACCAGTCAAGGATCCTTTTTCTGCAGCGTCACGAAGTTCGCTTTACCCCCAGCTTGACAAGGTGTGGTCCATCGCCCAATCAAAACTCCCGAAAAACAGTTACAACTTTACCATTCGTTACATTAACAGCTCTCTTCCGACGCGCAAAAACTTAAACAGATGGGCAATGTCTTCAAATGCAGACTGTTCTTTTTGTCTAAGCCCTGAAACATTACTACACATAGTAGCTGGATGTCAGTTTTATCTCGACCGATTTACGTGGAGACACAATTCAGTCCTGAACGTTCTTGCTAATACTTTACAAACTGTTGACGGTTCTACTCTCTACGCTGATCTACATGGATTCAAAAGCCCTTCAATACTTACTGGTGATACGTATCGCCCAGATTTGTTATTATCGTGCTCAAATGGTTCCTTATATGTGGTCGAACTCACCACTGGTTATGAGACAAACCTCAAGAACAACGTAAAACGGAAGAAGGATAAATATAGAGAATTATTGAGACAGCTAGGTAAAAATTTTAACCAAGTTAAATTTATAAATCTCTCTATCAGCTCTTTAGGTATTTTTGCAGAAGAATGTTCTACATTTTTAGACATGTTAGAAAGTATTGGTCTTGACAAAAACCACCAAATGTACTGCGTTAAGAAAATGATGACTATTGCTATTAGAACTACATATTACATTTTTTGCTGCCGAAATAAAGAATGGGAAAATCCGGATTTACTAACAATTTGACTTATCTGATTGTATATATATATGCATGCACTTTGTTCTGTTATTTTAGATTAGTATTGTGTGATTCAAATAGCCAACCGTAAGTTACCTTTATGAGAGAGATTTACGATTGTATATGTATGTAAAGAAAAACATTTAATAAAGTTTCCATTATTATTATTATTATTATTATTATTATTATTATTATTATTATTATTATTATTATTATTATTATTATTATTATTACTATTATTATTATTACTATTACTATTATTATTATTACTATTATTATTATTATTATTATTATTATTATTATTATTATTATTATTATTATTATTATTATATTATTATTATTATTATTATTATTATTATTATTATTATTATAAAAAAGAACACAAACAAGAGCTAATCACTCTCATGGACGACATTATGTCTGAAATTGATCTCAAACCTTTGCACCCGAAAAATAAACTTTTGCTTTATAGTCGTTACCTCCTATCCAAACTTTCCTGGCATTTCATTGTAACCACCATATCAAGAACCTGGGTCTCTGAAAATATGGATTCTGTGGTGAACAAGTACGTACGTAAATGGCTTGAAATACCTATATCAGGAACTCTATCTAACGTCTACCTTACCAGCAACAAGTTTGGTCTAAATATCTACCCGCCGTCAATTAAGTTTGCTCAGTGCCAAACAGTTGCTCGTAACGCCTTAAAGACCTCTCCAAATCATTCCATAAAAGACCTCTGGAAAACAACATCTAAAAGCAAAAACATTCAGTACGACGTTTACACCTCGATAAAGGAAGTCCTTAAAACTTTTAACTCCGGACAAGAAGACAAACTGCAGAATCATCTGATTTTGCAAGGCTCCTTCTTCTCAAATGTCATTAAGTTTTCACTGTCGAAATTAAACGGCATATGGTATAAATCCCAATCAAACCTCCCAAAGAACATTTATAACTTCACCATTCGTTACATCAATAACTCACTTCCAACTCGTAAAAACCTTACTAATTGCTCCTTAACAAAACAAAATATTTTTCTTTAAAAAAGCTATTTCTGAAAGGTTTCTAATGGGAAAAAGCGTTGAAAAATACTTCGTTTTGAGTGCCAAATTACTTGCGAGTCTATACAGCAATTCTATACATATGATACGAATACCACTAGACCAAAAATAGCTACGAAACAATGTTTTTTAATGTTTTTAAAATATACATTGTCAACTGTAAAACATTTGCAAAATTGCATACAAACGTTTAAAAAGTTGACAAAATGTTTACTTCTCAAGAAAACGTTCACGTTTTTAGTCGTGTTTCTACAAGATTAAAGTGATTATATGTAAACAGAAAAATATTTCAGTTTCATAGCCTAATTGTTCATTTTTAGCAAAAAGTACAAAACCAAACATGAAACAAAAACACGTCCACCTGTTAATAGGCTGTTACAGCTCATAGATTGAGTAAACGGCAGAATTCAATTAGCTTCAACCTTGTTTTCATCGATTTAATCCTTCACAATAATCCTTGGCTGTCCGTAGCACTCAAATAAATCGAAAAGTTGACAAAAACAAAACAGTAAAAACATTGCGGCTCGATTTTGCTGAATGAAAACTCGTTCTGCGCCCGCGTACAATCTTTTACTAGTCAGCGACGCTTTTCAATAGGGGAATTTCTCGAGTTACACGAGGCTATTTTCTAACTTTATTTGCATTTTACTCATTAGTTTCATCGGTGACCTATCTTCAAATTTTGACCACGAATTTATTTTGCGCTAAATTTTATGAATTTCAAATTTTAAAAAAATCTGTAGTGTGGAAATTTCGCAATAAATTTTTCGCTTTTAAAAAAATCACACACTACAGAATTTTTTTAAACTTTCACCACAGTTGCAGGGCATCATTCCTTATTGATATATGAAATAAAAAAGATAGGTCACCGACATCGTTTTTGAGATAGCGGCACATTTATGGGTTAAATTGGAAGGCTTTATGCTGTCGTCATGTTGCCATGGGAACATTGACATCGTCGAAATCTAGTTCGAAATATTCCTTAGGTGACCAATATTACCACCAAGTCGAAAAGAATTCGCGTTCGGCACGAATAAGCTGTTTTACGGAATTATTGCTTAAACAAGAATAACTGTAGGGAGCCACCTTAAACCCTGAAACCCTTTTACACGTAGTTGCTGGGTGTCAAACGTATCTCCCACGATTTACATGGAGACATGATTCTGTTCTGAACTTCATAGCACAAACGCTACAACCTGTAAACAACTCCAATCTTTTCGTCGATCTTCCTGTTTATAAAAGCCCATCAATTGTAACTGGTGACACATTCCGCCCAGACCTACTTCTATCTATCAACTCGGATTGTCTCTATATCCTTGAACTTTCTGTTGGTTATGAGTCTAATCTATAAACAAATGTTGATCGGAAAAGAAGAAGATACGAAGATCTCATTACACAGCAAAAGAAACAATATAAGTCCGTAAAATTTGTAAATTTGTCAATTAGTTCTTTAGGCGTTTTCTCAAAAGAATGTCATTCCTTTTTAGATATGTTAAATAATCTAGGTCTTGATAAAAGACACAAACATTTTGCTATCAGGAAAATTATGTCTATCGCGAATAGGCCAACACATTATATATTTTGTTGCAGAGATAAGGACTGGTCAAATCCGGAATTACTGAACATTTAAGGATACTCATTATTAATATATAAATATTAAGTAGGTTCAAGTAGCCAATTATAAATTACCTAAATTAGTGAGATTTATAATTGTATATTATGTACAATAATTTCCCAACACTGGTCCTACTTCAGAAAAATCTAACACCAAAACACAACGAACTTCCACCAATTCGTGGCCAGATGATATCTACAACTACGTAAATCTGGTGTCCAGTCTTCCTGATTCGAAAAAGTACGAAATTCTGTGCAATCATTGCCATTGGAAACCTGGTTCTGATTTTTCTTTTCCTCCACGCGAAAATATTGGTAGACGTTTCCGGTTGGCATGGTTATCACGATTTCCATGATTGGCTTACTCTGCTGTGGCAAACGGTGGTTTTTGCGTCACTTGTGTTCTTTTTGGCAGTGAAAGCACGCATAATGCAAGCGAGCTCCAACTATTGATGACCAGTGCTCTTCCTCCAAGTGCTTCTGCTGTCCAGAAACTATGTCAGCATGGTGAAAAATCCAATGTTCACGCAACGGCAACTTTCCGTGCTACACAGTTTAAGCGAATGATCGAGAATAAGACACTTGGTATCGATGCATGTGCAGCTGAAAAAAACCACCCCGTAAAAGACCTGCGTTGCAACTAAAACGCCAAGATGATTGAGTTCGATGTACAGCCCTAATTGGATATTTTTTGCTACGAAGAACCTGAAATACACAGGAACAGTACGTGCGGTACAGAGTTGTAGTTTTATGTAAGTACAGTGATTTTGTAACATTCTAATGTTGTAACGTTTAAGAACATGGTATGTTGTTTAAATATTTGACTTATTTAGTGCGTTTCGTTATTTGCTCTCTAAAATATGGCGTAATTAATGACGAATTATATGATAGAATTCGATGCTCAGAACTCAGGAAATGGCATTTCCGGGGTTCAAATTTCAAAAATTTTCCGGGGGGGAATGCCCCCGGACCCCCCTAATTATTGACGGTTTTGGAGTGCGCCACGGTCACGGTTTAGGCTGGATCCGCGCCTGATATATTCGTATATAATTTTGATAAAGTTTCCATTATTATTATTATTATTATAAATAAATATAGGCATAAAAAATATGCCAATAAATATATAAATAAA